CTTGGCTTTTTCTCTAAAAGAGGAACAGAAGACGGCGCTCGAGTCTTTCCTTTGCAAGAAGGACGTTTTTGCTGTTTTGCCGACCGGATACGGCAAGAGTCTACTCTACCAGTTAGCTCCGCTGGTAGCTAAGCGTATACGTCACCCCGTGTATTGTTCTGATTGGTCGTAGTGTTATTCAATTGCGTGCAGTGATATTTACAAATGCATGCTTGGTGCCACCCCTCGAGTTGGGCCATTTTCATTACTCATGGCCAGACCCTAAATCTTTCTAGATTTGGGTCTGGATTTCCAGGCTACCTTAAAACAGAAATTCAAGGAAAATTTTATCATGCCATGCAATCAATCTATAATGCATCTGCTGCCTATGTCAAGCTAAATGAATATTATACTAAGTGGTTCCCTACACCTTCAGGGGTGAGGCAAGGTGATGTTTTATCCCCAAATCTATTTGCTATTCTTCTCAATGAGTTAGTAACAGAAATAAAACAGGTTGGAATGGGAGTAATGTGGAGAAATAAACTGAGCATCCTGCTTTATGCAGATGATATAATATTGCTGGCAGAAAATGACAAAGATTTGCAAAAGATGCTAATATGTGCAGATAAATGGTGTAAGAGGTGGCGTCTTTCTATCAATCCCAAAAAGACAGAGGTTAAAGAGTTTAGAAAACCTGGTAAGAAAAGAAGTGAATTTCAATTTATTTTTGGTCATAAAAATTCACAGATAAGTATAAATACCTTGGCCTATTCCTTGATGAACACGTCATTTTTACATGGGATATCAGTATTAGCAGATTCTGCAAGTGGAGCTCTAGGAGATATGTTTGGGAAAACTAAGTCTCTAAGATATAGGGGTTATGTCACATTTACTCAGTTATATCAGTCTTGTGTTTAGACTGCCAAAGGAAGAAGAGAGGAAGAATAAAAGTTAGAATTTATTTTTAACACTTTTCCTCAACAATACAACCTGGACATTTTGTTGTGTTCCCTCCATTTTCCTGAGGACTGCTTCACAAACTGGCAACAGTTTACAGCTGGATTTTCACAGCAGTTACTCCTGAGAGACGGGGCAGTTAACTTAATTGTACAGTTCTGGAGATTCAGGATCACAATCTGTAAGAATGCTTTATGAGATGAGAAGTTGTTATTTAAAAACAAACAAGGAAGCTACTACCAAGTGTTGAAGTGTGGAGTAGATGGGATAAAGTGCTCCTGCTCCGCTGTCGCTTGTTCCTCAGCTTGCTCTGCCCTACTGGAGGCAGTTTTAGGTCGCGGTGGTCGGAAGAATTTCCTTATATCCATAGTTCCGTTCCGTTTTTAATCACACATCTCCTCTCGCTCATAGACGGTAGAGAAATGTGAACGTAAACATACTTACGTCACACTTCATGGTGTTTGAGGGATTTTCCTTTTTGTTTTTTAAAGAGGGAGACTAGGTATATTTCTGCGCAGCTGTTAATTTCTAACACAGCTCAATATCAGGATGATTTTATTCAGACTATCAATTTGGTGTTGATATGATTTAATTGTGGCGTCAGCTTTAAGCTTTATTGTAGCATATATAACGTTATGACAAAGAAGACCAATTTATCAGACGCAGTGATGTTAGACGATAATTGTAATACACGCAATTCATCTGCGCAGCATTGATTTCATGGGATTCAAGGGTGTGATCAGTGTCAGATGTACAGGTACAGGTACTGTAGCTACTTGAACCAGAGATGAGTAATTTAACCTAGACATCATTTTATTTGCTACCTTGTTTTGTCTTGATTTTTCCCTCTCTCCTCCTCTCTTTCTTCTTTCCTGACCCGTTTTTTTTTTCTCTATTATGTGATTTCATAGATGTTTTGACAGGGGAATTTCTTTGATAAGCTTTTAGTGGCTTCTAACCTCTCCAGCACTTTTCTTTTTTTAATCTTGTAAATGTTATACTCTCTGTTTTTAACATTATGTCCAAATAAACTAATCTAAACTGAAACTAAACATTATTCATCCCGTTATGCGTTGCCACGCATGTTCCCTCCTCCTGCAGCTGCCACGGTGTTGGCCTTTTCTCTAATGTTGCTTTTCTCCTCTTCATATTTTAGTAGAATTAATCTCTGATCCTCACGAGAAATACTTTTTTCCCCTCACATACGGCGCTCTGTGAGGACGCTCAGTGAGGACGCTCAGTGAGGACGCTCAGTGACGCTCAGTGACGCTGCGCTTCTCTCATGATTGTGATTGGTCCGCTGCATGCTTGTTCACGGCTCTTGATAAAGCAACACTGGGTTGAGTTACCGAGTTGATATCCAGCGTCGTGATACCGATTATCCTGATTGCCATTGTTAGGGTTAGTCAACCCAGGATAGGTCTGGGTAACCCAGGAAAGGTTGATCTCGCTTCGTGATACAGGCCCCAGGACAGTCTACAATGTGGACCAGGTAAAGTTAACTTGTTGTGTTTCATCTTCACAAAAGACGGCAGTTGCAAGCTTGTGTTAATTCACTGTCTAAGTAATTACATTTGCGAGGCATATTGTATATTGTGAATACTTACTTACACCATTACCCAGAGACTAACAATAACGAAAGGAGCAGTGATGAGCGACCAACACATGCTGCAGCATTAACCAAATTAAAACACCTCTGTAGTGCAGAAAATAACTCTTGGCTTAGTCTTTTAAAATCCTGTGCCTGGCCTGCCCAGTATCTTGGCTTTCACCGGAACTAATGGAGAGAGAGGCTACTCGCAGCTCCTCTGCTGGCATAACATAAATAACAACACAGCGGCTGCGGCGGAGCACTCCCTCCTCTTTCAAATAAGTAATTAATTCATCAATGCAGTCAACTTTTTAAAATAAAAAGGATGCGGACCATATATTATTGAATGGAATGTGAATTGCATACTGTTACAAGGGAAATATTACAGTAGTCTATGCAAACACTGGACCCTACGCAGACGTGTGTATGTCCCATATATACAGTCGAGGACAAAATTATTAGCCCCCCTATGAAATTTGAAGTTTCTTCAAGATTTTCCCAAGTACTTTTTTAACAGAGCAAGGAATTTTCAACATAGCATTTCTGAACATACTAGTTTTCTTAAGAAGGCACAAATTATTTATATTTGCACACCAAAACAGAATTATTTAAGAAAAAACTAAAATGACCAGGGACATTATTATTAGCCCCCTTTAAGAAATGACCATTTATTAAGTCATTGCACAAACCACTTTTGTGCAATGATGTGCTTTCACTTCACAGGTGATGTACTTAAAGGTGATCAGGTGAATCAGGTGATTTCACTCAACAATTAAGTTAAAACATGGTATAAAAGCCTCAGTATGGGTCATTGAGCTGTCAGTTGAGAAAGCACCATGCCGAAAACTAAAGAAATCAGTTTGGACTTGAGAAAAAGAATTATTGATGCACACAAAGCAGGAGAAGGATATACAAAGCTATCCAAGCGTTTCCAAGTGTCAAGAACTGGAGTGAGAAGTATAATCCAGAAATTCAAAGACAGCCACACAGTACAGAACAAGCCTGGCAGAGGTAGGAAGCGAAAGATTTCAAAGACCCTGGAAAGAAAACTAGTGAGAGATGTGTCTAAAGACCCCAGAACAACTGCCAAGACACTGGTGAATGACTTGGACACATCAGGAATCGTAGTCTCTAAGAAGACAATCACTAGAGCTCTGCACAGGAATGGACTGTGAGGTTGCAGACCAAGAAAAACTCCACTTTTGAAGAAGAGACACCTTCAAGCCAGACTTAAGTATGCTCAGGACAACCTGGAGAAAGATTATGCATACTGGAAGCGTGTCCTATGGTCTGATGAGACTAAACTAGAGCTCTTTGGCCATAGAGACACTGCTTATGTTTGGAGAAAAAGGGAGAGGCATATAACCCAAAGAACACCGTCCCCACAGTGAAACATGGTGGTGGGAGTATTATGCTGTGGGGATGCTTCAGTGCATCTGGAATTGGAAATCTTGTCAAGGTGGAAGGAATCATGAACAAAGAAAGATATGTGGAGATTTTGAAAGAAAACCTTAAGCAGTCAGCAGTAAAACTGGGTCTAGGTTGTCGCTTCGTCTTCCAACATGACAACGATCCAAAACATACGTCTCTCTTGGTGAAGAACTATCTCCAGAAGACCAAAGTGAATGTAATTGAGTGCCCTGACTTAAATCCCATTGAAAATATGTGGGGTGACCTAAAGAAGAACGTCCATGCCAGAAGGCCATCAAATCTGGAGGAGCTTGAGAGATTTGCCAAAGAAGAATGGGCTGGGATTCCTCAAAAGAAGTGTCAGAGACTTGTTGAAAACTACAACAAACGACTGCAGGCTGTTATCCAGCAAAAAGGATACACAATTGACTATTAGGATCCGGGGGGCTAATAATTTTGACCCTGGTATTTTTTGTTTTTTGTGGAATATTTTCATTTCTGTGTGCAAACTAAAATAATGTAAGCATCCAAAATAAAACTAGGATGTCTAAAAAAGCTGTGTTAAAAATGTGTTGCTCTGTTTAAAAGCACTTGGGAAATACTTTTTAAACAATGACATTTTTGTAGGGGGGCTAATAATTTTGTCCTCAACTGTATGTATATCCCACACACAACTGTAAATCTAGCTTTAAAGCTCCACAGTGTAGGATTTACAGGGATATGTTAAAACTAAGAATTGTTGTGTTTTGTTACCTTGGAACTACTACACACAGAGTGAGTCCTCATCCACAGAGTCCGTCATGTTATTCTACAGTAGCCAAGAACTGACACATCAGACACTGGCTCTAAATAGGGCCACTTGCATTTAACATTTTTGCACTGGCCACAGAAGTTTCAGTTGGTTGCTGTTTGCAACCTCACCACTAGATGCCACTAAATCCTCAACACTAGACCGTTAATATCACATAAAACATCTAACCATAAGGTCTTTCATCTAGAGAAAATAAAGAAAAACACAAGGGAATGTATAATATGATATATTTAACCAACTCCATTGGCTTACCATAGAGATCAGGGTTACTCCTTAGGTGGTGTTTAATAAAGTTTCTTCCAGGTAATGGCATCACTGACCCCTTAACTCTGTCCAGTACCTGCATCACATAAAGGAATGTCAAGCAACAAAAAAAGAAAAAAAAAACCACATTAAAAGAAACTCATATATTCTTTGAGCTAGGTTTATCATGAAAAAAAAATCACATGTATCCATTGTTCAGTCACACCTGCAATTGTATAAAAAGTGTATTTGTAGAGAGGGAGTGGCTCATACCTGCACTGTGTCCACATTGAAGAAAGACTGATAATACCCAAAGGTCCAGAAGCCACCAGTTGGTTTCTGTCCTCCTAACAGCTGGAAACACACACATCTTTCAGCTGTGTTCATTCAAAACATCGAGACTCTGTTAGAAACTGTCATGATGAGTCAACACAGATACTTTACACACCTCTGAACTCTCCTCCTGACCCTCCTCATCCTCTGAGAGGTCTAGTTTAACATCCTCCCCTCTTTCTCTTTCTCTTTCTCTTTCTCCTCCTGCTGCTGCTGCTGTCATGCTGGTGTTTGAGGCAGACATACTGAGTGTGGAGGCTCCCGGGTCTGCAGACAACAGCTCTGCTGCTTCCTCAAACTCTTAAGACATGCATTGAGAAACACAGGGAGATAGTAAAGTGGCTGTGTTACTACAAGCCTGGTTGTGTACATAATAGTTGTACTTCAGGCCAGTACCTGAAGCCAATTCAACTCAGTCGGGCTCTCTCGCTTCGCACAATTAATATGCATTTTAATGGTCAATATGTATTTAGTGTGGTAAACTAACCCCTATCAAATTTTCCACTTATTTTCTATTGGCTGATTGGACAGAAACATTAACAGAGGGCTTATAACAGGACAGTCTGATTTTCTGAGGGGATCCATTGACAGAAAATCTCATCTGAAATACAAACAATACGCAAAATTATTCCCAAAAAAGGGTCACATAATTTTGCTAATATTTAGCATTCAAAAATGAGCTCCTTAACAGCCAACTCATCATATAAATATTGGTTATCAGTATTTTTGAAAACATCAACAAAAACCTGGAACAAACGCTACGGTCTCTCTTAAACCCTACTGCTGTTTCCTCAAGGCCCAGTTGTTTAAAATGTAATCTGATCGGATTTCAGCTATCAAATTAGATCAAATCTTGGAAATGGGCAGTTCAAAAGAAAAAAGGAATTTGAAATCCTTAGATCATGTAATCCAGTCTTGGTTTTGATCTGAATAAAACCTTCAGTAGGTGTTGTTGAAAACTTTTTATTAGGATTGGGATACCTCTGATCCAAAAAATCTGGATTATCCTGATCCCAGCAGAAGGTTTGATTCAGGGTGGATTTCAGGAACATAATGTAACACAGGTTTGAATTTGGTCAAACATTCATAAAATATAATAATCACCCAAATAGCTGTCAAAATCAACCAAAACTTATTTAAAGTTAGAATTTCAAAGATCCCTGTTTGTTCTCCTTGGCAGCAACTATGGTGATAAGTGGTAACTGTAGTGTGTTTGTTGGCAGACTGCCTACACTGTGATATGTAGTTCCATTTAGACCACTGGTTATCCAGATCTGGTTATCTTGAAAACTTTGTGTGTGGATCAGGGTGATTTGATCCAATGTTGCTTTGAAAAATTAAAGTGGATTAGGTGATTCTGAATAGCAAAAAATGGAATTTCCAAATCTGGATCATTCTGATCTGGATTGAATTTTAGAACAGCTGCCCTGAGAAGATTAACCTGCACTTTCGCTTTTGTCTGAACCCAGGTGCCCCATCCTACAGAAATAAAAAAGTGACACTCAATGCTGCTCCTTGCTCCACTGGTAACCCAGAAATTGATCTGGTCACCATCTTAAGGGATGTCTTATTTCACCCCTTACTGTTCAAAGAAGCAAGACCACCCTTTGTCAGAAAATGTCTTGAGGTCTTGATCAAGAATGAGGGTAGAATGGAACGTGAGATGGATTTGCTATTTGGTGCGGCTTCTGCAGTGATGCGGGCACTGCGCCAGACCGTCGTGGTGAAGAGGGAGCTGAGCCGCAAGGCAGAGCTTTCGATTTACTGGTCCACCTATGTCCCAACCCTCATCTATGATCTATGGTCATGAGCTCTGGGTACTGCCCGAAAGAATGTGATCACAGATAGAAGCTGCTAAAATGAGTTCCCCTGTGGGGGGGGGGGGGGGGTGGGCTCAGCCTTAGAGATGAGGTAAGAAGCTCAGACATCTGGAGGGAGCTTGGAGGAGAGCCGCTACTCCTTTGCATCGAAAGGGGTCAGTTTAGGTGGTTCGACTATCGTGCCTCCCATTGGAGGTGTTTCGGGCATGTCCCAATGTTAGGAGGCCCTAGGGCATACCCAGAACATGCTGGAGGGATTACATATGTCATCTGGCCTGGGAACGCCTTGAGGTCCCCCAGGAGGAGCTTGAAAGTGTTGCTGAGGAGAGGGATGTCTGGGATGCTTTGTTTGGCCTGCTGCCCCTGCAACTCGGCCCGGATAAGCAGATGAAAATGGATGGATGGATGCATGTATCCTGTATAATTTCATGCAAAAAAATAAACTGATGGATTAAGGTTGAATTTCACAATCTTTACCTTGGAACTGTAGATCATTAGGACTGGCCATTGCTTCAGTGATCAAACAGCAACCTCATGCAAGACCTAGGAGAAGATAATGGATGGATACAGATGAGCACTGACAGCAGTTTTCACATACTAGGGTTCCCTGCACGCTGGGCAGAGTTTATTGGTCAACTGATAGATTGTAGGCTATGAATTTAGCTATACTTTTATAAAGTCTATGTTACTGAAATGATAAAGTTAGGTCATCTCTTTGCAGACCGGGCATCCGCTCATTTAACTTATCAAGCAGCAAGCTCACATATCAAGTTCTTTGACAATTAAATGTTCAGTAATCTCATAAGTCATCCAGACAAAGAACAAAGTCAATTTACTGTTAAATTAAAAAGAGATTTGGTTAGGATTTTAGCGTGTGCAGGCACCAACCACCAGCCAAATGCTGGTAAAATATGCAAGTGGCTGCAAATTTGCCTCACTCACCAACCAAAAACACAATAATTGTCTGGTTGGTAGATTTTGGAATCCACTAGCCATGGTGGGAGACTGTTGGGAGAATTAAATTGATAGAGCAGCTAATATTGTTGTTGTAGCACTTTTTTAAAAATTTTATTTCATTTAGAAAGGGACAGTGCACATTAATGAACATTATCGCTTAAGTCACGTACATTCACTCACAGGTTCTCCATCAACACTCAGAGACACAGAGCTGCTCCTCTGTTTAATCTGTCTGTTAATTAGTCTACAGTCAGTACGTTTACAAAAAATTAAATCCGATTAAAGGGGGTGGTTTATTCCGTTTGTCATTCCGAATGAAAGAATTTTGTGTGCATGTATACACTCATTCCTCTTTAAATTCATTCCGGTCTTTCTGCGCATGCTCGTTTCCTTGCCCTTCTGGCACGATGACGTATATAGCGCGCATAGCAATGGGCTGCATAGCAACAGGCTGAGATAGAGCAGTCGGACTTGTTGCACTCACCGGTTTCCATTCACCACAGCACGGTCTTCTATCTCCCTTCTTCGACCTTCTACCTCCCTTCTCCTCCTCAACAGACGAAGCATTAGCAGAACAAGGTTGTTGTCGTGGTGCTTCAAGAATATAAGCAAAACAAGCCCAAAAAATGCACTAAGAACGGCATCGTCAAGCATCTTGTTATCCGGAGCGAGGACTATACAGTGTTTTCTTCCGGTAAACGTAAACACGTAACATCCGCCCCGCCCCCTATCCAATCAGAAACCTTCCCTGCCCCAAACCTTGCGCAGACCTGAATAAAGGCGATTGAACTGATCTCCCATGTAAACCCTCATTCGGAATGAATATTTCCCATGTAAACTACCTGGAAAGACTTTAAATCCGAATGATTTCATTCAGATTTATTTCATTCCGAATGAGAAGCTATCATGTAACCGTAGCCACTGTGACATTGGTCTTTATGGTGCACGAGCTATGCTAAATCAGTCTGCGAATGAAGTTACTGCTGCAGCACAGGTACAATACTGTGGGCCTTTTACTCTGTAACTTTTAGCCGCGTCCAGTCAAGCACTGATTTGTGTTTCTGTTATCAGTTTAGGTGTGCGGTGCCACGCCGAGCTGCGCACCTACTCGTTCTCCAAAGTAGGTCCAAAAGCCGGGCCACCCGCAAGGCGGGTAAGAGGGTAGCGGTAACATCTCACCAACTGCAGCTGATCCCCCGCCCGACCTGTTATTCCCCCTCAAACTAACCATGTGTTGTGGGACTCTACTCACCTCTGTCTGCAGGAGACCAGTGAGAAAGGCATTTTTTGGGCTCTAGTTTCGCAGACCGGGCGAGGCGGGGGCGCAGCGCACCTGCGCTTNGTAGTCTAGGAAGTACTAAGTTCAGTGGTATATGAATCATAGGCTATTTATGGAAAAAAAGTTTTTTTATTCCACATCAAAGTTGGGTGAAATATCCTTAATCTTATCCTCTGTTAGGGATTTTGACACAGGATTACTCGAGAAGTACACAGTAAAAGTACTTCATATTATGCATGCACATAGTCTAGGAAGTACTAAGTTCAGCGGTATATGAATCTTGGACTACTTATGGAAAATAAGTTTTTTATTCCACATCAAAGTTGGGTGAAATATCCTTAATCTTAAGATCTGTTATGGATTTTGACAAAGGATTACTCAAAAACTACACAGTAAAAGTACTTGATATTATGCATGCATGTAGTCTAGGAAGTACTAAGTTCAGTGGTATATGAATCATAGGCTATTTATGGAAAAAAAGTTTTTTTATTCCACATCAAAGTTGGGTGAAATATCCTTAATCTTATCCTCTGTTAGGGATTTTGACACAGGATTACTCGAGAAGTACACAGTAAAAGTACTTCATATTATGCATGCACATAGTCTAGGAAGTACTAAGTTCAGCGGTATATGAATCTTGGACTACTTATGGAAAATAAGTTTTTTATTCCACATCAAAGTTGGGTGAAATATCCTTAATCTTAAGATCTGTTATGGATTTTGACAAAGGATTACTCAAAAACTACACAGTAAAAGTACTTGATATTATGCATGCATGTAGTCTAGGAAGTACTAAGTTCAGTGGTATATGAATCATAGGCTATTTATGGAAAAAAAGTTTTTTTATTCCACATCAAAGTTGGGTGAAATATCCTTAATCTTATCCTCTGTTAGGGATTTTGACACAGGATTACTCGAGAAGTACACAGTAAAAGTACTTCATATTATGCATGCACATAGTCTAGGAAGTACTAAGTTCAGCGGTATATGAATCTTGGACTACTTATGGAAAATAAGTTTTTTATTCCACATCAAAGTTGGGTGAAATATCCTTAATCTTAAGATCTGTTATGGATTTTGACAAAGGATTACTCAAAAACTACACAGTAAAAGTACTTGATATTATGCATGCATGTAGTCTAGGAAGTACTAAGTTCAGTGGTATATGAATCATAGGCTATTTATGGAAAAAAAGTTTTTTTATTCCACATCAAAGTTGGGTGAAATATCCTTAATCTTATCCTCTGTTAGGGATTTTGACACAGGATTACTCGAGAAGTACACAGTAAAAGTACTTCATATTATGCATGCACATAGTCTAGGAAGTACTAAGTTCAGCGGTATATGAATCTTGGACTACTTATGGAAAATAAGTTTTTTATTCCACATCAAAGTTGGGTGAAATATCCTTAATCTTAAGATCTGTTATGGATTTTGACAAAGGATTACTCAAAAACTACACAGTAAAAGTACTTGATATTATGCATGCATGTAGTCTAGGAAGTACTAAGTTCAGTGGTATATGAATCATAGGCTATTTATGGAAAAAAAGTTTTTTTATTCCACATCAAAGTTGGGTGAAATATCCTTAATCTTATCCTCTGTTAGGGATTTTGACACAGGATTACTCGAGAAGTACACAGTAAAAGTACTTCATATTATGCATGCACATAGTCTAGGAAGTACTAAGTTCAGCGGTATATGAATCTTGGACTACTTATGGAAAATAAGTTTTTTATTCCACATCAAAGTTGGGTGAAATATCCTTAATCTTAAGATCTGTTATGGATTTTGACAAAGGATTACTCAAAAACTACACAGTAAAAGTACTTGATATTATGCATGCATGTAGTCTAGGAAGTACTAAGTTCAGTGGTATATGAATCATAGACTACTTATGGAAAAAAAGTTTTTTTATTCCACATCAAAGTTGGGTGAAATATCCTTAATCTTATCCTCTGTTAGGGATTTTGACACAGGATTACTCGAGAAGTACACAGTAAAAGTACTTCATATTATGCATGCACATAGTCTAGGAAGTACTAAGTTCAGCGGTATATGAATCTTGAACTACTTATGGAAAATAAGTTTTTTATTCCACATCAAAGTTGGGTGAAATATCCTTAATCTTGTCCTCTGTTAAGGATTTTGACAAAGGATTACTCGAAAACTACACAGTAGAAGTACTTCATATTATGCATGCACGTAGTCTAGGAAGTACTTAGTTCAGCGGTATATGAATCACAGACTACTTACGGAAAATATTTTTTTTATTTCACATCAAATTGGGCGAAGTATCCTTAATCTTATCCTCTGTTAAGGATTTTCACACAGGATTACTGAAAAAGTACACAGTAAAAGTACTTCATATTATTCATGGACGTAGTCTAGGAAGTACTAAGTTCAGCGGTATATGGATCTTGGACTACTTATGGAAAATAGGTTTTTAATTCCGCATCAAAGTTGGGTGAAATATCCTTGATCTTGTGATCTGTTAAGGATTTTGACACAGGATTACTCAAAAACTACACAGTAAAAATACTTCATATTATGCATGCATGTAGTCTAGGAAGTGCAAAGTTCAGCAGTATATGGATCATAGACTACTTATGGAAAATAAGTTTTTTATTCCACATCAAAGTTGGGTGAAATATCCTTAATCTTGTGATCTGTTAAGGACTTTGACAAAGGATTACTCAAAAACTACACAGTAAAAGTACTTGATATTATGCATGCAAGTAGTCTAGGAAGTACTAAATTCAGCGATATACGAATCATAGACTACTTATGGAAAATAAGTTTTTTATGGACTACATGGAAAATACGTTTTTTATTCTACGTCAAAGTTCAGCAAAATATCCTTGAACTTGTCCTCTGCAGTCTGACCCACAGTCACTACCAGCAGCTCTTCAGAGCCGTTTCATTACGATTACCATAAGTGTTAGTAGATTCGCGCACTAGAAAAAAACGTGCGGCTGATTTGACCAAGCAAAAGCAAACCACTGCTGGCTTGACCGCTGTAAATTTCGGCTTACACCGGCTGCGCTCCCCCTGCGCTGACAGTAGACCAGGTTTCAGATGGCAAGCTTTTAGCGCACCTTCGGCGAAGCCTTTTGGCACGAAACTGTCACTGCGCCAAGTTGGATCTGTCGACACCTCCCCCTGCTGCGCCACCACACCCATCTCAGCGCACCTCGGTCTGCCAAACTGAGCGCGCCTCGGGTTGCGCTGCTCGAAACTAGCTCTGCGCGGGGTTCGCCACCCTGCGCCACCCTGCGCTGCGCCGGGAAACTAGAGCCCTCTGTGT